TACCGAGACCAAATAATGGATGCTATTTCGAATCAATGCTTCGTTTCTCCCAAGCAGTTTTCAGCTATGTGATCACTTTGGCGTGGAACCCAATTTTTTCTTATCGCGCAGTAGTACTTAAGTATCAAACTCACGAGGAGGAAGGAAGTGTCTGCCAGGATAGGTTTTCCCAACGACGTTTCGACTTCGGATAATGCATCGAATGAACCGTAAAGCAATTTTCTGAGAATAATGCTACTGAAAACGAGTGCTTAACGGCTTAAAAAAAGTATATACAAGTAGTCAGTCACTACTGACTATGCAGCTTCCTTGTTCCATCCCTCGAAGTTCAGAAAAAAAGATAGACGAGTGAGCCGACTAAAATTCGTACTGATGATTTTTTAACCTCGAGCATAACTCGCATCTGGGCAGGTTATCCTCATTGAACTGGTCTATAGTACACAAGTAGTACCCATAGTGAATTAGCACATATCTACCGATGGTTAAATTGGAACGACTCTCGCTTACGCAAAAATTAACCTCCTAAAAGGACGTGTTGCAACTCTCGTCCAGAGATTTATTAATCCATAAGCATAAAGTCTGCTCCAACTTTGTTCACTTACTCAGGATCTTGTTGAAGAATTGTGTCTGGCCAAAGACCACCGGCTTCGTTCGCCAAAAAACGTCAGAGACACAGGCGAAGAGGAACACCGCAAGGACGCGGCCGATTTGATCGGCGAAGTTCATTTTATGTGCTGTCCCCTCCTCGCTGTGACTCGGCGAAAAGTTGCAACGAGTTACACATGATCGTTGTCGCCTTTCGTAGCATGTCGATCGAAGCGGGACCGGTGTGAACAGATTACTTCATACGTTCCGGTGGCGAACCGGATTTGACGGCGAAACCGACGCCGCTGCCGCCGATAATACGTGATGGTTGAGGGTCAACAACACCGCGCTGGCGGCAGTTCCTCATCAGCCGAGGTTAAATTACACCGTTTGAGGTCGCACAACACACACAAGGCTTTCGATGTACGTCCACGCCCACATATTCTCAATTACACGAGTGTCACTGCGACGGTAACCCTCGTCGTAGCGACGCTTCCGTCATCGACCTAGTCACAGATGTGTGAAATGACGACGAATACGGATCAGATACGGAGCAACTTATGCAACCTGAAGCTTCGAATAAATGATCACCTATTCAACCATTGATAGCCTTACGTTAACCTTAGGTGGTAATCCCG